AGCTGATAGAATATTCGATGACTACATACACACATGCTTCGTTTAACATAGGATCGTCCTGACAAACTCAAGTTTGTACGAATTAAGCTGTATGATCAGTGGCTAGCAGGATGTACTATAATTTATGCATGCTTGTCTTATCAAATCAATAGGGCGAGACGGTAGTGTTACGAAACACACAACGAACGTAACTGACCTTGTGGAAACTCATCAAGTCGATTAGCTCATATTGTCTTAACGTAACAAATTCGATAAAGAGTTACCATATTGGATTTCCATACAGGTTTCACAGTCCAACGAAAAGACAAGTTCTTCATCGCTCAAAACGATAACAATAATTCCCATAGGATTGGACCATTGCAAGTTGGCGAACGTCTTTCTAGATTTCTCGTGTCACCACACGCCGATGACTATAATGCAACAGTTGCTAACAAGTCATCACTAATTAATATCAGAGATATTAATATCGAGATATTCACCCAATCTTGATCTAGCATATATATCATCTAGGTCTATGAGTACTCGAACTCAAACACTTGCAATTGACATAACTAAGGGAACGCAAAGCGACTTTGTTTTTCTAAGAAGCCGCGCCTTTAAATTTCCGAGTAATTATCGTGGTACTTATCAACAACCGCTATTATTTATCGTGTAAATGGACAACACAGTAAACGTCGTGAAACTGCTAGTACAACCAACAACGTCGCAAGAAAACTCGAGGAGGGCCGAGCATTTCAACAAATGATGAATAAATGCTATTTCAATCATCATTAGTAAAAACACCAAGGCTTAGTTAGGGCAGTCTCTGGCGAAGTGACCAGGCTGACCACACTTGAAACAGTTCCTGCCCTCAGCACCTGACAAGAACAATACTCAACAACTAAGAACTATAGGCAAACTGCTTACCACGTCCACGAGGAGCGCGATCGCTCTCGGGCCTGGTGTCCTCATTAGGGCAGTCACGAGCAAGATGACCGGTCTCGCCACAACGGAAACATGCCCGGGTATCGGGAGCAGTGCAATCCCTGAGAAAATGAGGATAATTCATAACTGAATACTGGACTGTGGTCTCACCTGGCGAAGTGACCGACTTGACCGCATTTGAAGCAAGGCCTTTGGTTGGTCTGCTCATTAGGGCAATCACGAGCGAGATGGTCGGGCTTGCCACAGTTGTAGCAGTTCATAGGGCGACGACCAGTAGGCTAATAGAAGATATATTCATACCACACCAATCGTAATTCTTACACGACTGCTGCTAGTAGCCTGAGGGCAATCTCTGGCGAAGTGACCAGGCTCGTTGCAGATGAAGCAAGTTGAGGAGGAAACGCGCTCAGTAGTGGTGGTAGTTTCAGCAGTATCAGTCATTATTAGTAAACGTACGATAACTAGACCCTAACATAGATGGAATCCTTGAGGACACAAATCCC